AACCGGCGAGCACCCACCACCACCGCGGTAATGACCGCGGTGCACCGCCCGTTTGATTTCCTACTCTTCCCTAACATGTATAAAGTACATGTATGTTTGAATGAAAACTGACAGAGCCCGTCCAAGATACCGCATTAAAAAAAAAAACAAGATGCCTGCCAGTCGATCATCTTTGATCCAATTGCGAAATAAATCGTCATGGACATGTATCCTAACATGTATAATCTATGTACCAAGTTTGAATGACAACTGACAAAGCATGTCCAACATACAACATTTTCAAAAAACAAGATGGCTGCAAGTCGGCCATTTTGAATCGAAACGCTAAACCACTACATGTGCATATGTCCCACATAAGGTACTAGGCACATGCAAAGAAAGAACGAAATTGGTCCACAGGATTCTGAAATATGACTCTGGACAGACTGACCCAGGGACGGACAGATGGACGGACAGACAGACTCAGGAACTTACAGACGGTCGGGGACATGTATCCTAACATGTATGATCTATGAACTAAATTTGAATGAAAACTGACAAAGCATGTCCAAAATACGACATTTTCAAAAAACAAGATGGCTGCCAGTCGGCCATCTTTGATCTAATTGTGAAATAAATCGTCATGGACATGTATCCTAACATGTATAATCTATGTACCAAGTTTGAATGAAAACTGACGAAGCATGTCCAAAATACAACATTTTTAAAAAACAAGATGGCTGCCAGTCGGCCATTTTGAATCGAATCGCTAAACCACTGCATGTGCATATGTCCCACATAAAGTACTAGGCACATGCAAAGAATGAACGGAATCGGTCCAAGGGATTCTGAGATATGACTATGGACGGACGGACACACGGACGGAGACCGAATTATAAGTTCCCGTTTTCGGACTTCGTCCGAATGGGGACTAATTAGTCTGATATATTTCTGGCATATCCTGTGAATGTTATTTCGAAAGAAAACTTCATTTAACTGATTTCTTTTTCCTGAAAACAACATCATGGGTTAATTCCAAACGCGAGGTGCTGCTAATTTCTTTTTAGTCCAAGTGAAAAATAAATAAATAATCAATCAATAAATCAATAATACAGAATAGCAAAAATATTGCAGTTAATAATAAAATGTTCATATATGTTATTAATATAGAAGCTTTATTATTAACTGGGTTTTATATTCACTTATTTCCTTGTTAGCTAAATTAATGTGCTAATTAAAAAAAAAACGTAAAAATGCATCGTTTCCTTCACAACTCCAGTAAAATTTAAAACCCACTGACAAATTAAACTGTAAAGAGAGAAATATTCACTACATTGATTTTAGCAGAAAAGAATAGATTTGTTTTTTATTTGTGCATATTCACTTAGTTTTAATTAGCAAGCTGAAATGAAACCTGGCTAGCTAACAATTAGACCTGATACAGTAATCCATTTTAATAATTATTTCTCTACACAGGAATTACAAAATCGTTTTTTTTTCTAAAGTCGATCAAAAGATCCTGGGATGCAAAATATGCAATTTACCCCCCCCCCTCTCTTCCCTCAAAGGATGCATGTTTATGACTTGTGAAAAGATAAATCAGAGCAAGCTTAGTTAACACATTTGACCCCAATTTACCTTTCCATCCATAATTGTCTCCCACGATGCAGTTCTCCTATTGTTGACCCTTGACCCTAATTCTTGTAAAGCTAGTTCATAATCCCCATCTGTCAGTAAGCATCGTCGGTGTTTGTCGTAGACGACCAACTCAGCTCCATACGTTATGTACTGGATGTCGTCATCCTCAAAGCACGAGTATTTACTAACTTTGCTTCGTTTCTTCGGTGGCTCATCTGTGTATGGGTTGAGAAATTAGAAGTTGTTTCAGAAGTTCATGATTTGGAAATCCCACAAAAATAAACAGTAACTATTTGAAGATTTTGCAGAAAAAAATCAACATTTGAATATCTCCCAACTTCACTGTTTTACTACCGTTAAAATCCTAATATAAACCGCGGTTTATATTACAATGTATCAAATAAAAAATGTGGATCAACAGCTCAAGTTCGGGGTGCGGTTTCTATTACGTACATATTGCAATCACTAAATGGGCGTGGTCATTTTTTCCACACATCACTTGCACAAAACAAACAATACACCGTACAATCTTTCGAATATAAGCATAACACCAATTTAGATGTCAGGGAAGAGCGATAAGCGTCGCGTCGCGTCACGTCACACAAAAACTGTTCACATGAAAAAAATACTCAGTATATTTAATGTAATATGCATTTATTTTTTTAATTTTCTTCGTAACAGAAAGTATATTCTGACAGGAGTTTCAAATAAAACATTAATGCATTGCTTAGTAGAAAATGATCATGGTACAGCACTAAAAAAGTACGGTACCATGGTACCGTACCGTGGTTGAAACAAAGTCAGTCGCGGTCTTGTTGAATTGGGGGTGCGGTTAGTAATAGGTACTTTTCATGTTTTCAATTTTTGTTGAGAACTCTTTAACACTGAAGCCGAAATCGGGGGTGCGGTTACTATTAGGTATGCGGTTTATAATAGGATTTTAACGGTAAGTTTCCAGGATTTAATGATACAAATGCTGATTTTAAGAGCAATAACGGAAGAAACACGCTAAACGCCAACAAAACACAATGCGGCAAAATGGGCAAAAACGTTAAAGATCATTAGATTTTATAAGTTCATTGCATTGTACTCATCAATGAACTGCATTCAATCCCGTACCATGACCCGATAACTAGGACATGAATAAATAAAATATTGATATTTTTACTTAGATTTAACAACTGACTATTACCGTATTACCCCGGGCACGCGCCCCTCCCTGGGCAAGCGCCCAGCCCCCTGTTTTCACAAAAGTTACATGTTGGGGACATCCTCGGTTAAACGCCCAGGGTGATTTTTAGCCAAGAATTAGGTCAACAATAAAGTTGTATTTGTCAAAAACGAACGCGTTTGACTTATTTAAATAGTGTGTTCGTTACGGTAGTTCTTTTTTTGGAGTGTGTGGTGGCCCTGAAAAGGGCCGTTTTGTTTGTGTTTTTACGTAAAAACTCATTGGAAGAGCATCGCCAGGCGATGGACGCGGGGCTCTTTGGCAACGACCAAAAACGTATCCGTGTCCAGCCATTGGTTGGCCACGTAGAGGTCAAAATATGCGTTCTATTTTTACGCGTTAAGTTTGGCTCTTCCGTTTCACCCCCTCCGGAATGTTCTACTTTCGCAGCCTAAAGAATTAGTGGAAATGTTTCTATTTGGGGCGGATTATTGATAGAGGATAATGTCTTTATTACAAAAATGCTGAAAAACCGTGAGTTTTTGCTTTAGTTATTTTTTTATCGGCGAAAAACTGCGAACTCGGCAAATTTGGTTGCACAACTTCCCTCTATCATATACACCCAGCGACACCGATGCCAGCTGACTGTGAACGGGAGCTAGCACTTTTGAGACATTGCTACTTTCTTTCCATCCCTCATCACAGCTATGGCATTACGGTCATGTGGATTATTTTTCTGTCGTTGAAGAAAAACACATTTTGCCAACCTCAAATCCATTACGATAACCATAATGAGGCATGCCGACTATGGGAACTTGTTGCATCATAATTTTGTCTTGTGTGTGGGTGCATGAATAAATCATGTTAATGAGGTCGACCAGAGTTTATTTTCAGTCTGTATCGCCATTTGAATATGTTTATGTATTCACAATAGTTTGTAAACATTTCACATCAGTAATAAAAGTTTTTTTTGTTTCATAACCCTGTCTGCTATTCTTCAGTAATTACGGTGCGATGTATCAATACGTGCGTGAACAAAATTATGCTAATGAGGTCATCGCCTTCTTGGATTACAAGCGGTAGTTTTTCCCGGCCGTTTCGACTCGCACTGATCACGGTTACTAAAAATGTAACCGTGCATTGATTACAATATTTACCATAGTTTGTAGTCAATTTCAGTGAGTAATACAACTTCATTCGCTGACATAAAACAAGTTTTATTCTTGAAATTCGACCCTGTGTCTTAGTGTTCCCACAGATCTTGACCGAGTGCTCACGTTTATTGAAACCTCGCATAAATCAAGAAATAAGTATGTGTACAAAGTGTACGAAAGCATTCCTTTATTTGACCTTATCATACGATCACAAAAACAACTTTTTAAAATCTTTTTTGGGGTGGTCCTCGGGTAAGCGCCTACCCCCAATTTTTCCCGATTTTGTACGTTCAGGCCCCTGGGCGCGTGCCCGGGGTAATACGGTATATTTCAATAATCATTTGGTTAAATCAGACAAGAGTTGATAATTGCATGAACACTCACCGTAACTGTCTTGGTCTTCCCCATTCAGCATAGTTTCACTCATTGGAGGCGGGGTCGGTAACGGGTAGTTGACCCTCAGTACAAGAACGTAGGATTTCACTGTGTGACCATTCGCGTGGCTAAACTTATCACTTGCAATTGATAACGTGTTAAGTTCTTCGGCGATGACGCTGCTGCTTAAAGGGTTAATAGCTACGTTACTTTTGCCGAGGGATATTTTCATTATTGGCGAAGAAACGTCCTGTAAAATTTGTGAAATGCAAAACACTGAAAGAACTTACTGCGACAAACAAGCAAGTAAAATCAATAAAGCCGACTCGTCTCGCAGTGATCGTCTTAGCGTCTTCATCACTTACAATTCAAATGAATGAATCATGTACAAATTTTAAAAACACAACATCAGCAAACTCCAGACATCGCAGGTTTTCATGCAACAGCGCCACCAACGTCTTGTTTGAGTAAAACAACCGTCCGCCATCTCGCAAATCTGTTACGGTAGTTTCCTTCAGTGACACACGATCATACAGCCTGAACTCCAGGGTACAGCCCATAACGTTCAAACAATTGCGGATACGGCTGGATAATCAATACAATTTTAATATATTCAAATTAGGCCTTTAATGTTATGCTATAGAAATTGAATTATTAATGAGAAAATGACAAAAGCATTCAATGTATTTTATCTATGCATTATTCCCACTGTTGAATTTGTTGCCAAGCATAGATCTGAAAATTGGAAAATGTTTTGTGGTGAAACTGCTTTTCCCAGACTTGAGAAATTGTGAAATTTGGTTTTGCATACATAAAAGTACTTTTCTATATTTTGTACACACATGATTAACACAGTTATATGGTAATTTTGGTACAAAGTGAGTGATTATGCAAATTAGCAAATATCTCCATAATATTGGTGGTTACAAGAAATTTAATCCAATTTTGACTGTTTTTGAAATTTCAAATTATCCATCACTTAGTCTTGCTCCTCGAAGTTGTGTTTGCATTTTGTTACTATCGTAGATAAAATTAAAGAAAAAAATGTAAAAAATACATCAAGTGTAATTTATACAATAATGTAAAAATATACATTGGTTGTTGAATAAAAAAACAAAACAGCAAATACAAATTTATCCCAAACACTTTTTCTATCTTCATGAAAAAAATGTTTTGAATCAGATAAAAAATGTTCAGGTTAAAATTTTGACCAAAAATTATGTTTTTAACCCACAATTAAGTGCATTTTATGACACATAAAAATTAAGTGCATTTCTGAAAAGATACGATATTCGGCTTTCCGAATACATATATAACATGACATGTTTTAAATGTCATCTTTATCATCTGTCTCATTAAAAAGGTACATCTCATTATTAATACATTGACTGCTGAGAACCACAACGAATTGTCACAAATTTCAAATATCTCTGATATAAAAAAGACTTAAGTAGACAATGTGTTAATGGCCTATTTAGACATGGCAAGCCAGTCATATCCGTTAGTCAGATTATGTAACTTACCTTTCTTTTTTTATGACATACTTTCAATAGTAAAGCTTCCACTTTAACACTATGGCACTCATCTTCCACACTAAGCGCTGAAACAAAAAATTTGACATAAAAATAAAAGTGAGCACTGACAATCAGCCAATCAACACAATGTGACAAGTTCATTTCCAAGTGCACAATTGTAGTTCACGATATATTTCCGTGATCATGAAACACAAGTGTTACAGATCCTACTTAGCATGCATGTATGTATATATATGTAATATACCAATTACAGCAAATTGCACCTAGTTTCATTTTCCGAGACAATCTAGGCCAAATAAGATGCAGAGAAAACATATTACTCAAAACAACTTAGAGAAAACTGGATTTTTATCATCAAAAACGTTTGAGCCATGAAACATTGACACAATGATCATGTTCAATCCCTGACATAGCTGTCTAAATTCAGGTGCCCACACAATATTCAAATTTCACAAGTCACTTAGGTGCAGAACAATGGAACATTGTCAATCACACGCCTGCTTTAAAACTCAGGCCTTGAAAAATGTTAAGGTTTGTATGTACTGAATGTTTGTTTGAGATCACAGCTTCCAAAAATCTCACATTTTATGCCATATAT